GGGTTCCGAAATGGCTTATTAAGGGGCAAAAGGGGTGACCCTCCCCCCCCCCCCCCCCCCCCCCCCTCTTTTTTTTCCATAGAGTTAGTAATAGCCTACTAATTTTTATAAATATTGTACCCAAAACATAAAATTGGGTTGTGACAGTAATTTAGTTTCGACCTCAAATTGACTATTCAAGCTTCATCCCTCCTAAATGGTTTATAACATTTTGTAAAACCACATTCCACCATGTTAAAATCAATGAAGTTTGCCTCTGTCTACGATTGCGTGTTGTTAAACTAAGTCGAGACATTTTCCCGTAAAACAGAAAAACAATATACATATTCCATTGATGGCAAAAAATCAAATGGCATATATTGATAGCAAAACAACAAAACCACAACATGTATTATGTTCTATTGATTTAGCAAGAAACCAATACATGTTTTCTCTGTTCAGTTTCTGTAGTTGTACAAGGAATTACGCAGCTCCATAAAAAAAATTAAACCATATAACCTGATTAACTTCCCAGTTCTATAACAGACAAACGAAATCAAAACAAGCAAGGAAACAACATAGTTTCGGTTTTTCTGAAATCGTGAAAAGGAGGAGAATTTAGAAAATCATAAAATTAGAAAAGATGGAGAGAATATGAAGAAATCGATTAGCTACCGGTTGTTGCCAATTCATAAATTCATAAAAGTACATGAGAAATCGATCCGCTTGAATTCATAAATCAAATAGCTTGAAACCATGAATCGACCAAGACATGCTTCACATTGTTGTTTGGTTCAAATGTGAAGAGAGAGAGAGAGAGAGAGAGAGAGAGAGAGAGAGATCACCTGGAATAAAGTCGTTGGCCTATCCTTGTTACAATGAGGAGAAGACGCGAAGATTGGATGTCGGCTAAGAATGGGATGAACGAACTAGGTTAATTGATGAAGGGTATTGTAATGTTTAGCAGGAGCAAAATCGTAATATTGTGCTTTCCGTGTTGTGAAGGAATTAATTCCTTTGATATTGTGAAGGAATGGACTTTCCTTCATTTGAACGGAAAATAATTCATTTAGCATTCCTTTTCCTTTCCTTGAAGCTAAACCAAACGCATGAATTTGAGGGAACTAGAATCATTTTCCCTCAAATTTCATTCCATTCCTACCAAACAAACACCCCCAAAGGTTTTCTTATATATATATATATATATATATATATATATATATATATATATATATATATATATATATATATATATATATATATATATATATATATATATATATATATATATATATATATGGGCACTTTGATTCGTTATCTAGTAACAACGAGGTAAAATTAAATTTTAAATATAAGCATTGCGTGAACATTTTTTTGAATACAATTGACTTCATAACTTAAATTCTAATTTTCTTTTTGATTAAACAGATCTTTGGCAAAACCTCCTCCAATAACTATGAGATTGCATGTGAAGTGTTCAAGAAATGGTTTGTTTGGTGATATCTCTTTAACCATGAAACCAAACAGGGAGATTATGTTTAAAGGCTTGAAGATGAAGGCTAATCCTCTTGAGGTCCAAACAATATCTTTTGATTCGAAAACTTTGGTTAGTTCCTATCCCTATCCTATTGAAGATTATGGGTTTTCCTTCAAGATATTTCTTAAAGAGGTCAAAATAGGGATATTTACGACCCGGGTGAAAGTAGAAGATGAAACAACGCATTTGGCGCAATGTTCTTCGATGCTATCAATGGCTCCCTAAAAGTTGGTACAACATTAATGACAATCCTCGAATAATAAATTTATGTTTTTATTGTTTATTTACCCTTTTAAACTGTTTTTAGTTAATTTATTATTTTTTATAGCTTTGTTGTTGTTGCACTAACTCTGATATTAAATCCTCACATTCTCATAACAAGACATGCAATCTTCATCTTCCTTTTTTTTGGTTTGGCTCAAGAGTTTTTTGCTTTTGCAAGACTGGGTGTGGGAAAATATCATAGAAGAGATCTAAACATGCTAGAAGTGTTATTATCTGTAAAGATCTACATTTTGGGAGGATTAGTCTTTGCAAATAATACGAGAGTTATAATTGATTGTGTTTTACCTTTCTTTTGGGTTATTTGTAAGTACATTCTCCTTGATTTTTGTTTTTCATGCTGTAAAAAATCAATCTTTTTTTTCCTAATTGTTTCCATGTTTTGTAGATTTCCTAAAAGATGTAGAGATAAAAGAGGTCCTAAATGGGTAATGGGTGCGCTCTAATATTCAATTCATTTTTATTTCTTGTGAATTGATTAAGGTAATTAGGTTTGATTAAGTTATTTTATGTTTGTTATATTGTATTTTAATATGTGTGTATATGAATGTGTGTATAAAACAAACATAAAATAAATTAATCAAACCTAATTACCTTAATGAATTCACAAGCAATAGGAAAAAAAAGATTTATTTTTTACAGCATTAAAAAACAAAAATCAAGGAGAATGTACTTACAAATAATAAAACATGGGTAGATGAAATATGAGTTGGATGATGAGTTGAGGGGTGATATAGACCATGAGGTAAGGGTGAGAGGTGGATGATGTGAGAAGCCTTGTTCCCAAATGTTGGACATGTTATCTAGCAGAGTATGGATGACAACTACAGACTATTCTAGACAGTCTAGTAGAACACTAACATGCTTGCAACCTGTAAGTGTTATGAACGATGTGTTCACTGGTGTACTCTAAAAACCCATTGACATGTATTGCGAGTGGACTCTCGAAAATGATACTGTCAGTAAACGAGATAACCTTAACAGTTGTGCCTCATAGAGAATGTCACAATTCTGGAAGTTGTACCTAAGTAATAGAACTACCAGCTATGCCTGAAAGCTGTATCATTGACAACGATGAACTTCGTACCTATTCCTTAGGATAATCCTTAGGAATGAATGAATGAGAAATAGCTGATTCTTAGGGTAGATCCTTAAAAGCAAAGAAGATAATGAGGATGGGTAATTGGGTTAACTGTTTGATGATTAAACATAATAATTATATTATTGTGGGTTGAAAACCCTATGTACTCACCATGTTTCCCAACCTGACCCACTCAGTTTATTTATATCATAGGTGTTGATTTGAAGTCACATTACACTGAGAGATTAAGGAGATATAAATCACAAGTGATAATGAATGTAAGTTTTGTTTATGCTTATGTTTCTGTATTGATAATGACATCCCAAATGTTTTAAAATGAATAAAAATATTTTTCTTCGAAAATGCTTTGATAGCGTATTTATCATGCTTTACTGGGAACAAATTCCGCAACATTTTTATTAAAGGAGGTAGTCTGATTTTTATAAAGCATAAACAAAATCAATCTTTCTGGCTGTGAAAATGGGGATGTCACAAAAAATCAATTAGAATCACTTAGATCTAAGCAAATCTAAGTAAGAAGCACAAAAAAAGCCGTTGGAATTATGAAGCCGCCAATGAACCACCACAGAGGATGAGTATACATAGATGTAGAGGCGGTAGAAGGCAACAATGGTAGCAAGAGAATGCGGTTGTTGGTGGTGGCGTCAGAGGTAGGTAGTAATGGTGGTGGTGTGAGCAAGTGGTAGATGGAGAGAAGGGAGATGCATGTTTTTGGAGAATGGTGAAATAAATGATTATTAGATCTTATATCTAAAATGTCATCTTAATTGTAGTCTAGTCATAAGCATTTTAACAAAAATACGCTTAATAAAAAGGGTTCTTAAATGGTATGGGCAAAACTTATTAATGGAGGAGAAACGGAGGAGAGGGGCTTAACAATGTTACCGGTTGCAAATGGGGATGTAATCGGTTGGTTAAGGGGAAACGGTAAAAAACATTAAAATGAAACATGAGAGGCAAATGTTAGGCATCGGTGGCAAAAAAAAAATCGATTTTGGATATAACCGGTTTTTTTATGTAAATTTGGGGGCTTTTATGACAAAACATAAAATTTGGGTTGTGATGGTAATTTAGTTTCGACCCTCAAATTAACTGTTCAAGCTTCACTCTACCAATAACAGTTCTCATTTAATCTTTTACGTGGATCAAAATTTTGATCCAATACGGATCGACTAAAGAAAAGAAAAATAGGCAAAAAAAAAAAAAAAAAGGTTTTTATTTTCTTATTCGTCTCGGTTCGAAAGTTAGAAAAAAAAACCTCTTGTTTTGGGATCCGTCATAAGACATACAAACAAAACCTTTCCTTTTTTCAATCGTACAAAAATCATATTTTTCTATATATATTTATATATTTGGTGTATGTATGTAGATAATTAACCGTGTGGATCCAACTTTTGATCCAAGATGGATCGACTAAAGAAAAAGAAGGCAAAAAGCACAGTGTATTACTCTTTCTGTTCCGAGAGAAAAATTGATTTCTTTATACATACTTTATGAGTTTATGTAAGTTGTGATTCAACATTTCAAACTTCTTTTTTTGAAAATTGACTATCAGTATGGCATATCATGCCTTGTTCTTAACCGAAACCTTTATTTATTTATATATTTTTTATAAATACTTTGTATATACGACGGATGATAAGGCTACCTGGTATTGATATTGATCACATTTCACGTGTGAAGATCTACGTGGACGGGGTTTCCATTAGTGAACACCCCCAAGTTATAGAGTCTGTCTAGTGGAGTGGAGGTGGTCTCTCTCTTTTTCTATTTTTCTTTTTATTTTTTTACTAGTGAATACCATTTCCACAATATTATAAAATTATTGTGGAATGGTTTGATGAAGAAATGGTTTGGATTTCAGTGTGAATATACCCTATCATCTATCATCCTTCCTTAAGTTATAGATCTTTATAGTTCTCATATAGGCATCGACCACATCAAAAATATATATATATATATATATATATATATATATATATATATATATATATATATATATATATATATATATATATATATATATATATATATATTAACAAGAAGTACGTTTATCCTCCTTGAAAAAAAAATGTCAAAAAAGTACAAAAAATAAATAAATTATGATGGACTTGGCAAACAATTAGACATTTGCATATTCCTTTCTAGATTTAACTTCAATCCCTTTGATTTGCTTGTATCTAGACTTAACCTCAATCCCTTTGCTTTGCTTGTATATAGTTTCTTCACATTTGAGTTCTGTTCACGTAGCAGCTTCACTAAGCTTCTCTTTGCATTTGATCTAAATGGACAATTTGATGCTAAGAATCCATCCACCAAATGTAAATATGCTTCCAAGTCATGGCAACATGACACATCGGCATCCGGTTTCAAATACGGTGAGTTACTTGTATCAACCCGTAGTTCAGTCCCCACATGCGCATATGCCCACGGCATCGTGTTATCAACAATATTCAACGCTACATTCATGTTTTTCGACTCACGAAGTTTTTTATCAAGTTCTTCGCTCACAAACATTCCTGGAACGCGAGTGATGATATCTTTTGAGTTGACGATTCGCAGTACTTTCACCTGTTGGGAACTAAGTTTTTTTGCAAATGCTCGGTTCCCAACACGTGGGCCACCGAAGGTGTATACTGCTATTGGTGGAATGCCCTGAGCACAAGTGCTCAGGTCATCAGCCACCAGTAGGGCTAGGGCCGCACCAAGGCTGTGGCCGGTAACAGTGATACTTAGGGTTTCGCCTTCGTACAACCGAGTTAACCGTTTGATTTCGGAAACCACCGACTCTCTTAGGCTCGAGACATGAGCTCCGGAGGTCTTGTAGAGGCTTAAAAACCCACATTGCACTTTAGGTTGTCCACCGGATTGGTCTGGAATTTTTACGAGTAGGTCCCGCATGTTTTCTGCCCATTCGAGACATGTGGAGGTCCCACGAAGAGATATCACTATGTCACGTCTGCCCATTCTAGAGATTTCTCGTTCATCGTCACACACTGCCACGTAACCAATGCAGCTGGTTCGTTGAGTCATCCACTCGAGATCTGGTGCCACCTTGTCGACCCAGTCCGGGAAACCTACGGAAGCGGTGGCGTACAGGGTCTTGGTGACTCGGTAGGATCTATCTGGGATGGCGACTTGCCGAGGTGATGGGGCTTCCTTGTCTGAGGTGGCAGGATCCGAATGAAAACAATGATATGCGGCTTGAATGAACTCTCCATACCGGACCATCTCTCGCCGGAGATTCTCATCCAGCGGGTCAAGTAAACCCACCCAATTATTGCTCCCGTGATACTCTCTCCACCTGGAAGCCAGGCTGTTTCGGGGAGAATATTCCATTCCGTTCTTCGACAACAACCGTTGGAGGCGGTTCAGCTGTCGGGGAGACATTTCCTCCGCTGCTTTATTTTCCGGCCAAATTTGAGGCAAATGTAGTCCCTCTAAAAGACCCCCTTTTCCTCTACTCTCCGCCTCCGGCAACCCATTATCAGCACTCACTTTGGGTTCCAATTGGATCACCTCAGGTTCTGTACCTATTAGTCTTTCAAGATTTGAAAGGTGTTTCCTTGTGAACTTGGTTCTTGGTAAGCTTGTGGTTTTCATGGAGGTCTTCGATAAACAAGCTTTTGTTATGGGTTTCACAGAATACCCATTACAATTAACGGAGAATCTTTCCTGAAATATGTCAAGATTATGCGACGGAACTGTTGAGCCGATTTGCATCATGATTCTAAAAAGATTAAAAATGGACCTCCACAAAGAGAAAGAAAGAGAGAAAAAAGAACAAATATACACTGTTGAGAGAGAGAGAGTGTGTGTAGCTGTGTGTGGGGTGAACGGATTATGAGGTAATATATAGAGGAATAGAGGGTACAAAGTGTAAATAAATAGATCGAATTTTGGTTTAGTTTTACTCCTCCAAGTATGTGGGTTAGTCAATACTTATTACATAACTTTTCAACATTTAGCGTCCCTCAAGATTTAATATTATTAAAACTAGCCTGGACTTATTGAAAAAAATTCTAATCACTGTAATTAGACTAGTCAAATTAGTCCAAGTGCCGCCTCTACCCTTTGCAAAATTAAACAAAGGTTTAGAGCCTCCAATTCTAAAAGATTCCTAATTTTAAAGTTTATTCTGTTAATTATATATGTATATATATAAGTATTTCTTGCATTACAAAGATAAATTTAAGCTTGGTTTGATGGTAAAAGCAATAGTTTATAAAAATAAGGGTCTCAAGTTCCAATCTCATTGCTTACTTGAAGGTTTCAATTTTTTTTGTTTGCTTAAAACCTCTAAATTGTTTGAATCACCCATGATTAGTCCCTATATACTAAACCACAACCAAAACTTGTATAACAATAATTTGAAATATTTTTATTACAGTGACTCAAAATATTTATTTTAAATAATCATTTAAGGCATTGACCTAGTTATATACATGTATAATGAAAATATTTTTAAATTTATATGTAAAACTTGTTTAGATAAGAACCACTCTTGTCCATGCCACTTACAAGGTAAATTATAGTATTGCATATGTTTCACTAAGCTCGATTAGTCCATGCCACTTACAAGGTAAGTATTGCATATGTTTCACTAAATTCGATTATTAGTTCGTAATATTTATATTATTTACCTAGAAAAGTGAAAAAAGCTAATTAATATATGGAGGATTTATACTCCTTTATTTAGTGGTGTAGCCAGGATTTTGTTTTAGGATAAACCAAATAATTTATAAAATATGAACAGATATCAAAGTATTTCAAATGGTAACAACTGTACGATTTTAAAGTAAATTGTTTGTTTAAGTTGAAAGTAATTGCTATAATAAAAAAATATCATTATTCGAACTTGACAAACGAGGAATTTATTATGAAGATTGAAATGCAATTTGATCTAATAAAAAAACGATTGCCTCAATTCTTTAACCGACATGCCTCAACAAGTAAATTATTTCTTTAATTATAAATTTAAGTTTTGAATGTGATGAGTTGTATTACAATTCATAGTCTTAACGTTTTCTATTCAAAAGAAAATATTAATTATTTATATAATATATATTTCACTTTCAAATTTATGACTTGTATGAAAATCTAGGAAATCTACAGCAAGAAAAATGATAAGCCTGAAACAGACATAAAATTAATAAATAAGTGGGTCTTAGTCGTATCAGATAAAAGTAAGGGGGGCAAACTTGATTGATTTGAATATATATCAAATGGCAAACCTGAAAATAAAACGTACTTCTAATGGTAAAGAGATTCAAAAGTAGGGTCGAAATGGAATTGAATATGCATACGCGGTGTTTTACACGCATGCATCTCGTCTCAGTGGTTATAAACATGATTTATCTTTCACATTTTGATTTAGAGAAATTTATAAATTTCGGAAAAAAAAAATACTATATATCAAATGTAGTCAACGACTTTGATTCGTCTTTCACATTTTGATTTGTTTATCAAAAAATGTTTTTTCAAAACTTGCAAATGAAATAGCAGATGACTAGATCTCACTACGATTTTAGGATTTTAGCTCAATTGTCGGCTCATGGCCCAACAAGAATGAGTATCTATCAAAGTTTTATTTTTAAACAAATTGTGGATGGACGTGCTCCACCTGCGATTTGCTATGCTCCCACCTGCAATTTGCACTCAAATAATTTTTTTTTTTTCCAAAAAAGTGACTACGAATTTGTTATTTTTAACTATGAAATCTAACATTTTTTTACTATGAAATCGTACAATTATACTAGATTGTATATAAAAATTATCTAAAATTTTTAGATAATCAAGCTATGAAATCATAGTCAAAGCCAATAAATTCAAAGCGACAATACTTGACCACAATCTGTAGTTGGATTTTTTTGGTCGGTTATTATTGGGTACAAAGAGTAGAATTCATAGAGAACCAATGTCATTATCAGTCATTTGTCATTTGATTAAGAGTATTATTAATTTTTATTTTTTTTTGGAAATGGAACTTCCCTAACGAGGGTTTCCGGACCAACTTCTGTGCATCGATTAATCTCCCGCTGCAAACATGAAACTTTACCTTATGTCATGGAGTCACTACAGGCGAACCTCCATGACCACAATGGCTGAGTGATGTCAAGATTTGAACATGGATCAATATGTTATCCACCATATCTCTCTCTTCCACATGTCTTACTAAATCACCACAACCCAAGTGGTTAAGTATTATTAAGTATAACTGTTTACAAAAGTAGAATTCATATATAACCAATGACATTATCATCATTTTCTCATTTGATTAAGAGTATTATTAAGTATGAAAGATAATGTCAATCGATGGTTATAGTAATGATAAGTTTAGAGAGTTATGCAAATTTAAATTACTAGATAAATATTACAAATATAAAAAACCTTGAAAGATGCAAAATCCAAAACCTAATAAAAATAGGTAATTCTATCTCCTTGTTACCTAGAACCTATGTTTTAAAAATTACGCCTAGGTGCTAGGTGACTTAAGGCGACAATGGAAACGCCTCCAGCCTCCAAGGCGAGGCAGTGTATAGGAGGCATCGAATCTTGTTGTGAATCGGCAATTCTTTGTGAGGCGCCAAATGGCTCGCCTTTAGGGATTCATGTACCGGGCCTTGGGTATTAGGCTAAATTCTACCGTATACCTATTAATTATGTTATTGCTTTTTAACTGTAATAATATATGTGTCGTTTAGTTTAGGCCTAACAATTGGGTTGAGTTCGGGTTGGTGGGTCACGAGTTGGCAGGTCAAAAAACATAAATTCAACCAAACCCATATAATATATGGGTTGACGGGTTGGCGTGTCACGGGTTGGTGGGTTGGAAACTTCAACCTAACCCAACTCATATACCCCGTTTAAGTATATGGGTTCACAGGTTCACAAGTTAATGGGTCAAACTCAACCAAGGTTCTAAATAATGTAAGGCGTGATTTGGTGGCAATGTCAAGCCTCAAGCTTTTACAAGCCTTGGCAAGTCACGACGTTTGTAAGGCGTGACTTAAGGCGACAATTTTCTATATAATTAATATTTTTATACGTATTTTCAATTATTATTCATTTTTATACACATATATGAGTTAAGGCAACATTTTGGCAAAGCTTGGCGACATATGCAAGCCTTGGAGTCGTGGCACGCCATGACGAGCTTTTTATAACCTTGAATCCAACACATATAACACATTTAATAAATAAGCAACACATTTTAAAAAGTGGGGTTTTTTTTTTAACATAAATTCTTAAAACGATTGAAGTAATTAACATAAAAATAGGTTTTCAATCTAAATTCATAAATTCAATAACATCCAAATAAAAATGATAAATGAAAACATTCATAGAAAATGGATGTGTTCTTTGTTCATGTCTCGTGAATATCTAAAAAATAACAATATGTATTTTTTCTTTTTTGATTAACGAACTGCAAACGCCATTGGTTATATTTAATTATTAATAAAATCAAATTTTATTAATAATTAAATATATCATTTTTTAATTGTAATATATATATATATATATATATATATATATATATATATATATATATATATATATATATATATGGGTTGGCGGGTTGACCCACAAACCCAAACAGATAACCAATGGCGAATCTAGAACAAAATATCACATGGTTCCCAAATTAAGTGAAACCGATAAAAAATCAATAACACTTGTGAGAGGTCGGGTCAGGTTGGGTCATGTATGATTTAATGAAATATAACTGAAAAAACCGATCAACCACCACCAATTAAAATTTATAAAAAATATTAAAAAAAAAAACGACTGAAATATAATTGAAAAGGCCGAACGATTTAATGAAAAATTAGTTGATTATTAGTGTATTGATACCTTATTGTTTGGTAAAAACTATATTTTATATTTAATCCTATATATTTAACAGCACAAATGCTCCATATAACTTATTTTTTGCCCTCTTTAAAATGGTTTTTAAGACATTTTTTAGAATAACAAACTCAAGGCAGGTCCTTTATTTTTTCTAAAGTAGTTCCTAATTTTTGTGGTATATATATTATAAATGAAATTCAAATTTTAGGTAGGTCCTAGTACCTACCTTCTTATATGTTAGATACACCCCTGCAAATTACCCAACTCAACCCATGAAATAAACGGGTTGGTGGGTTGGCGGGTTGACGCATCAAAAATATTAACCCAAACCCGTCTATTTTCGGGTTGGGTCAATTCACGCTTTATATACATCGATACCGACTCTGCATTACTTATGGTTATTCCAATAGGTCCCGACAATCACTATAAATCCATGTATCTTCATCCCTCATTCTCTATCAATCCATGTAGTTTTCTTCCCTTGTTCTCTATATTCTTTTGCTTCCATTATTCAAACGTCTTTTCTTCTCATCCTTTCTTCCCATTCCACGGATACTATGGACACCAACAATCCTATTGTTGACACTGAAGATGCAATGGATCCAGGCAGTAGATATGGTACAGCTGACCCAACAAATAGGCACAATTTTACTTGCAAATTTTTTGCAAAGTCAACTTCTGGAGGATTATACCGTCTAAAACAACATTTAGTCGGAGGTTTCAAAAATTGTAAAAGATGCCCAAAGTGTACTGAGCATGTGCGGGAAGAAGTGAAGAACTATATGATCCAGAAAGAAGCAGAAAAAAGTGCAAGAACTACTGACCATTCAAATGTAGTGGCACTTGATGACTATGATGAAGATGATGATGGCGTG